CTTAAAAACGACCTGCAGTTTGGCTCTTGACGACCAACGATTCCTGTGTGAGAGTTAAAGTGCGCACATTCCTAAGGCAGAAAGCAGCCACTAGGGTGCCACCTCATGCCAGGCTGCGGCAAACGCCTGGCTCCACTCCCCGCTCCACTGACAAACAGTTCAGGAATCCTGTAGCACCAGCAGCTCAGCCTTGTGGCAGAGCCAGGACAATTCGGCTGCTGGATTTTAATAGATTCTGCAGCCATGCAACAGGAACCAAAATCAGTCTGGGTTACTCAGAGTGGTTTTCACACCCAAAGATTCTAAGGCTGGCCACAGTGTACTGAGAACCCTGGCTTTTCAAAATTCCAGCGCCATGAAGTCATCCCCGCCACAAGCTTACTTAACCCTTGCAGCCGGCTCAGTGCACAAACCACTGCTGGAAAATGAGAACCCGCCAGGCCAGAGTCACAACGGCCTGTGTGTATTTGTGGTTTTCCTCTTTCTCAGCGAAGTATTTAAAGGTTTCAGAGTCACTCCACCAACTTCAAGTAAAATAGTGAGCACTTTGGAAGGAAATGGGCAGAAGTAGTGGATTTTCTGGGAGGACTTTCTAGGTTCATAGCAGGCAGGATATTTGACAGCCTCAAAGCATACCCTTTGAGGACAACACTGGTGCAAAATAAACAAGAGTGAGTGCAGGCAGGGAGAGCTATCTAAGAGCATCATTTAGCAGCTAGTCGAGTGGGCTCTCTTTGTAACAACTTCCTGGGAGAGAGACCCATCTGAAAACGCTTCTAGAGGGCTTTGTTTGAAAATGCAGCATCATGTAAGAGCCATCTCAACAGATGGTTCCTGTCTCTTTCCTCGCAGGATCATGCTAAAACAACTCCAGTGATTCTGAACCACACGGTTAGCACTTGTAAACCCCCCCTCCCCCAAAGCAGAGGGGACTTCTCTCTTTCTCTCTGGCACAGTGTCTAGTGGTCTGTACTCCCCGTCACTCCCCCAAACAAAGCAAAATATAACTAGAATGACTTTCAGATGGTCCTATCACATGGGGAAGAGGCAGGAAGAGAACTGATATGCATTTTCTTTTCTGCTACAGTACTTTCTTCACTGTGAAGGAAAAGAGAACTCTCCTGCCTTTCATGGACTCTAAATAACACAAAAAAATCAAAAGGTAGGTAGGCAGGCAGGAGAAAAGGGTGAGATGGAACTAGTGGAGACTGCACCAGGAGCCGGCCCCCGATTCCAACATCCCCGCACATCTGATCAGCATAATTTCATGTCAAGCAACTCAGCCGCCCGACCCTCCTGCCTCTGAGTGTGCGAGGCAAGGCCACAGCTTGCTCTTGGTGTTTCTGCCGCTGCCACTCTGTCGTTACACGTTATAAACACAAACTTAGCACGTATGGATTTCAGTGAATCCTCCTGAGGAAATACTGAAATAGCACCTCCCTCCTCTATTAAATTTACAAGGAGGAAAACTAAAAACAGAAACTAACTGGAAACCTGGGGAAAGTAAATATTTATATTAGCAAATTTAAAAATTGAATACTAAAGATACAGAAAAAGGGAATATTTTCAAGCTAAGGCCACCATTAGCATGAAATTTCTAGGCCACATATGTGGTCGTAACTAGGTGTGATTGGGGGTCTCAGTGGGGCTGGGATAGGTAAGAAGAGGTTAAGAAGAAATTTGCAACACAGCGAAGAATTCTAAGATGCTGAGGCCATGAAAAACACCTAGATAAAAGGCAAAACCACAGAAAGAGTTCACAGATCCCTGGCTGGGGATGGGGAGATGAGGAGGCAGAGCAGAGGGATGTTCAGGGCAGTGAAACTACTCCGTATGATACTATAACGATAGATACATGTCATTATGCATTTGTCCAAACCCACTGAATGTACAGCCCCGAGAGTGAGCCCTAATGTAAGCCACGGACTCCAGTTGATAACAGTGTGTCAATATCAGCTCATCAACTATAACAAATGTGCCACACCAACAACAGATGTTAATAATAGGGGAGACTGTATGGCGGGTATATTGAAATTCCGAAATTGTAAACCTAAAACTGCTCTCAAAAATAAAGCGTATTCATTTAAAAAAAATCATACCTGAAAACAAATCCAGGAAAAATATTTTTAATTAAGTATTTTACTTCTTTTGGTTTATACTTTAATAGTTTTAACCTTTTTTTAATGCACGAATTAATAACTAAAAGTTTATCAATTCTAACATGAAATGGTTATTCAATAGAAGTACAGAATCACTGGATTTTGCTTAGTTCTGTAACACAAGTATAGGAGAAGTCACGACAAAAATGTCTGCAGTCAGCTAGCTGAGTACAGCAAAGTAAAAAGGCAAGTTCCTTAAGCTCTCTGAGCACCACGATTTCCTTCATCCATAAAAGTGACAATAACAGCAACCGTGGGACGGCTGAGATGATGCCTACAAAGAGCCCAGCACAGAGCCTGCTACGTGGTGTATGCTTTCTCCATGTCGGCTCCCATCATGGACCATTTTCGTGTTCCAGCACGCTCCTAACAGAGCGAACATCACATGTTTAATCAAACTGTGTGCTGGTCAGCTCACTTCTATCTCCAGGTTGCAGAACGCACCCCAGCCCCACTCAGCTGCAGGCAGCGGGCGCACCACTCAAACGGTCGGGGCAGTGCTGCGAGGAACGGCGAAGGACTTCGACTCTGTCGTGCAGCTGGAGCATTAAGTCTTTCAGGAAGGTGTGTGGCTGAGGAAACACGAGCTGGGGGATCCCCACCCTAGCGGCCAAGGCAACCCTGAGACGCACACCCTGAGAAACCTGGATTAAAGATCTGCAAGAGGAGGGGTCTGGATGGCAGCTTGGCCTGAAGCCATGGTCTAGCTGACACAGCCCAGTCCCTCTCTTGCCAAATGGTTACAGTCAGCACGAGGCCCCGTGTGAGTGAGTCCTTGAGCGATTACACAGCAGTGTGCAGAATCAAAAAGCATTCCGGAGCAGAAGGAGGCCCATGACGCCAGGCATCAGCAACACAGCCCCCAGAGGGGACAGGAAACAAACCAGGGCTCTCTGCAAATCCCGACTGCAGCGGCCACGCCCTCTGGCAGGCCTGCAGGCAGGTCTAGAACTCACTTGGCAACCTGCCGTCATGGACTGAAGGGAGGTCTGATCAAGCTTGGAACTGACAAGCCTGGGGATGTGAGACCTTACAGGGACACAGGAAAGGCAGAAGAAGGGGCAAGACTCTTCTCATATGACACCAGGCTCAGGACACAATGGTCGTGAAGACCCAATGCCAGCCTCAGGGCAGCTGGGCATGGTGAAGAGGCCTTGTGCTCCAACCTCAGAGCTAAAGGATTTTCTTTGCTAAGGCCTGTTTAGATCCTAGTAAGGGCTCGAGGGCTGTATTTCCCTGTAATGCCACCCTGACAGTTATATTCTGATGTATAGACTCTATATTACTATCAAAATTGTAAGGAAATGTGGGATAGAGATCATTTTTAAAAGTCTTAAAAAGTAAAAAAAAATATATACAAATGCATTGTTATTTGTCTATGGTGAATAACTGGCTAACCAGCTGTGTGAGGGCAGCACAAAACACATCCCAGTGTCCAAGGCTTCACTGGATGGTCCTTCCTAATACTGCAGCAACTTCTCTGTCCCAGCGGACACCCAGCCACTCCTAATGCCTCATTCCTTAGGGCTCCGACTCCCTACACCAGAACACCCCAGCATCAATCGAGAGCCTCTGACTCCAGAATTCCAGCACCCATGGGTGCCCTCCGCTGTTGCCCTGTCTCGTCTCACAATGTAGATTCTTCAGATTCCCTTGGGCCAGAGTAAGAGTATGGATTTTAGCACTACACAGACTTAGCTCAACCATTTACCCATTGTTTGACTTTGGGTAAAACCACTTAAATAGACCTGCAATTTAACACAGTGTAAAAATGTGGGTAATTTCTTATGTGACAAGTTTACTGCAAGGATTAACTCATGCAGCATCCATGAAAACCTAGCACAGTGTCCAGCAGATAGTGAGTGCTCAAGTCATTAGATTCTCTACCTAGCCCTCAACCTCCAGATCCCCTGCCCCACCTTGTACCCGACTTTCTAGTTTCTTAAGGATTTTCTAGCTTTAGGAAATAAGAACAGACAGAATCCGAGCCATGAGAGCAGGTGGCTTGGCTTGCTGGACCCAACATCTTGTCAAGAGACTGACTGGCTTACTCGGCCGCTCTCGCAAGACTGTAACACAGTGGACGGGGCCATCACCTTGAGAGGAGAATATTTATTTTCACTCCACCTCATTCCACAAAGCATTTGATGCAGCTTGAAACCAATGTTAACAATGTAAATTTTATCTACAAGTGGTATTTTCAAGTAGGAGGGGGATAAAAAGTGAAATTTTAATATTTGGTATTTATCTTTTCCTTTCATTATTGGGACCCAGAACATCATAGTCGTTGTAGGTGTGCTTTTAAATAAAACAAAGACGTCTTCGAGGGCAGGCAACAGTGTGTGTGTGAGAGACGGAAAGAGAGGGAGAGCCCTATACCTTCTCCCTGGACTGTCTGCTGATGTCACAGCAAACACAGTCCATGACCCTCTGATCAATGAATGGGGGAGACACTTACCCTCAATTCACTCTTGTTGGTGACTATTGACAAGCTGGTAATGATCTGGCTGTACTGTGCCACTCATGCTGAGGGCACTGGCATTCTCTAAAGGTCAAAAACAAATTCTTCTAAAATGCAGAATTTCTTAGACGTCAGGGAAGACTCAGTATTTTTTTAACCAGGTTCACATCATAAACCAGGGAATATGTGAGACACCCAGGGTTTCGGTTCTTTAATTTTTCCTGATTTAAATTCTTGGCTCTCAAACAAACTGCACGGGGAATTCTTCCAGAGGGGGATGGAAAGGGGATTCTGAAAGCGGTGTGTCTCCGGCGGGCCTGGGCAGAAAGCAGCACAAACCGGAGCAGATCAGCCTGAGTCAAAGGTGACACGGTACTCACTCTGCGACACTCTCACCAGCTCCGTCACACTGAAAACACCTGATGTGACAAAACTGTCCTGGAAGCCCAGATGTCCTGGAGGAACAAAACAAAAGAAACGACGTCACAGACAGAAGACACCTGACAACGGAAGTCTAAACATTAGCTTCACTGTGATTAAAAAACGTGGTGTCTAATTTCACATTCTGCTTGGTATACAGTTCACGGGGGATGTGCAGTCATTCAGTTACGTGGATGGCTTTTGCTTTGAATCTGGAGGTTATGGAAAGCTATGACACAACAACTAGGTGGTGTTTGAAACGGTTTAAAAAAACTCGACAGGAAATCTAACACAATAGACTATTAAAAACAAATGGTCACCTTGGCTGACCTCTAGGACCTTAACATGCGGATGAAAACAGCCTACCTAAGAATCAGCCGGAACGGCTAAACTCCACAACAGCTCCTAAACGTTAATCTTTAAAAACACATCTGACTGGGATTAGCTATCCATTCATTCAAATCAAACAAGAGTTAAAGATATTCCCTTCATTTCTAGAGGCACCACAGGGTGAATCTTAAAAAGCCAGACTAGAGAAAGCAAGCCCCAAACCCTTGAAATAAGAAAACAAATTCTTCTGAGCACGAATAAAAACTTAGATTTGTCTCAAAAGAGTTTTTTGTGGATTTTTTTTGAGAAAAGATAATAAATCAATGGTTCAAAATGACAACCTTTGAATTTTGTATCTGCTTCATTTTTGCTTGATAGAATTAATTTCCTTTAAGATATTAGACATTACATCTATTATCAAGTGCTTATTTATTTTTATGGTATATTCAGGAACAGAAAACTTATAAATGGCAAGGAACACATAATTTATGACACATCGATTCCCCCTCTGCCTCTCAAGTTTCCTGACTCTGTGAGTCTCACGGAGGTGGCATCTCATGGAGTGACCGGCCCTCTGTAGGTTAGCGTAATCACCTGCTTTAAAATTGGGGCCAAGGAGAAGCTGTTGGCTGAAGGGATTTTTAAAATAACTGTTCTTTGAAATAAGAAACATACATTTAAGAAATGCAACATAAGAAAGTAGGCCAATCTAAATATATAACAAACAATCCATCCAAATAAGATTTATGTTATTGATAAAAGCTAGATTTTTGCCCATTACTAAGGGGAAGCAAGTCTACCTGTGGCAGTATTTATGCACCAGTAAATGTGTTAACCATCTATCATGCAAATAAACACATGCAAAAAATCACCACGTTTTGGAGGATTACAAATGGACCTACAAATTCTATTTTTTCTTTTGGTTACATTGGACTTTTGCATAAGAAAGATTTTCTTTACTGAGATTTAAAGGAAAAATCTAATTTTTAGGATATGCAATAATCACAAATTGCTTTTTAAAATAGAATGGCAAAATTTCATTTGAAGAAGTGCTTAAGAAATTTCACTTTTCAAAACCACTCGTACCCAAGTATTTACTGACTTGTGTTTTTTTTTTTAAAGATTTTATTTTTTCCTTTTTCTCCCCAAAGCCCCCCGGTACATAGTTGTGTATTCTTCGTTGTGGGTTCCTCTAGTTGTGGCATGTGGGACGCTGCCTCAGCGTGGTCTGACGAGCAGTGCCATGTCCGCGCCCAGGATTCGAACCGACGAAACACTGGGCCGCCTGCAGCGGAGCGCGCGAACGTAACCACTCGGCCACGGGGCCAGCCCCTTTACTGACTTGTTTTTGAAAAGCGCCTGAAAAGGTGTTGTCTCTTGGATTAAGACAACTGAGAAGTAAAAATAAATTAAAAAAAAAGAAATTCTCTAACAAGGTCTTGGGAAAACAGACAATAACATTTCTTTCTATCGTGACAATTTGAACATCACATTCATCCCACAGACCATAACAAAGGACACCCGATCACACTGCACATTAAGTGTGACTTGAACCACAGGTAACAACAGCAAGGAGACCCACAGCTGAGCGGGGGAGCCTGGCTTGGTCCCCAGCTCCCGCTCTTCTCCATCCGCATCATCTGCTTGCAGGCTGATACTTGTTTCACTGCCAAGCTTTGAAACTCCTCATTTTAAGGACGACTTAACATGAATTTTCGTAGAGTGAATGTGAACACACGCACTTTAATCCTGCCCCCAAAAGAAGCAGCAATATATTTTGCAAACACGTGTGGTCTGGCAGAAGGACTTAGGAGGGAAAACCCCCGAATTCATCCCTTCAAACCGCCCTCCTGTCCTGATGGCCCCTTTTCCTTTGGCCACCTCTCAGATGTTGATGTCCTCCAGGCTGGCGCTCATCTCTTCTTATATACACACTCCCTCGGTTATTCACTCTATTTCCATGCTACCAGCTACCAGTCTTGACTGAAAACTAGAATAACGTTAGTTTCCTTCACCACCGTATTAACGCTTGGAACAAAGTAGCAAGTAGGTGAATACTTGCTGAATGAGTGGACAAATGAATCCATAGGCCAATGACTCTCCAATCTTTATCCTTTGCCAAGATCTCTCTTCTGGATTCCAAACACATAAATCAAAATGTTTATGGGAATTTCTATCCAGATGGCCCACGGGTATCCTAGGAGCCAACACGTCCAAAGCTGAGCTCATTTTCTTCTCCCCCAAAATATTCTTACTCTTCTGAGTTCCCTACCTTCAATGAACTATCCACTGTTCATTTTGTTTTCTATGTTTTGGTGTTGTCCCTGACTCCCGCCTCTTATAAACACCCACATTCAACTATTCCCCACTGATTCCACTTCTTACTATTTCTTGACTCTCTGTGCGTCTCCAATTCCTATACAACTACGGCTCAGGCTCTTCCCATTTCCCCAGCATACAGGGACAGCCTGGTAACCATGTTCTGCATCATCAGTCTTGGCTTCTCCTTCGTCCATTCTCCACTCTGCAGCCAGAGCTGTCTCACTAACCGACAAATCTGACGACTTATTCATTTATTCAACACATATGTATTGAGCACATACTGGGTGCCGGCCATTGTGCTAAGGGTTTGAGATACAGTCCTTATCTTTAGAGAATTTACAGTCTAGGATTACAGACAACTGAAAATCTAAAACAAGTTATTTTAAAAATTATAAATGGTATAAATGATATGAAGAAAAGAAAACAGGAAAAAGTTTAGAAAAGCAGTCAAGGAAGGTTTCTCTTAAGAGCATGACATCTGAAAGACACTAAGGAGAAAGCCAGAAAAAGAAAAGGGAATGGCCGTTCAGGCAGAGGGATTGGCATGTGCAAAGGCCGAGGGAGGAAAGAGGGAGGTGTTGGGGAGTCTGCAACAAATCCACTGTGTTCCTGCAAGAGCTCCACAGAGAGTTCAGGGCACAGTGCAACCTCTTCTGCACGGGGCACAACCTCCAGCAACTCTCTGTTTTCTTCTCTAGGCTCATTTTCATCTCGTGTTTTTCACTTCCAGCCCTATCCCTTGGCCTAAGGGAATACATGCTCCTTCCTTACCCTGGTCACCTCTTCTCCCACACTGCTCCCTCCTGAACTGCCTGTTCTTTCTACTCTTTGCTTGGCCACCACGGTCCTACTTGGCTGTGAGCACTCAGCTTTGCTGTCCTCTCTACTGGAGCTTCTTTGTTACCCCTCCTGCTGGCGCAGACTCCTGTCCCTCTTCTCAGCATGGACCAATGCGCTCTGTCTAGCTCTTACCTGGGACTCAGCAGGTGGAACTGACATTTTGTCCTTTTCTCCTGTTAGGCTGTGAGCCCCAAGGGCAGGACGCGCTCCAGAGATGGCTCTGAGTGAACACAGCTCCAATGGGGCTCAAGGGCAGTTACTTTCCTTTTTATAAAAACGTTGACAGAACTTCTTAATTCTGTCTCTCTCTCTCATCTCTAGTAATATAGGCTGAACTAAAACGAACTGATGAGCATCTGGAAACTATAGCCAGGAACCATCCACGGGTCCCTCAGAACAAACAGAACAGGACAGATGGCCATTTTGACCAGGCTTTGATCAGAAGGTGCCATCAGGCTCCGTGATGGGAAAAGTGTGGGGGTGTCCTCTTGTGATTGTGGCTTATATTTGGGGAGACCAAGTAAAGAGATTTAAAGGGGAGCATTACTTAATGGACATAAGAGGCCAAAACAAAAGTCTCATCCTGAGCTTAAACCAGGACCTCATGTGGTCCCAGGAAAGTCACTGCGGAGCAACAGTGGGGTCCTCCTTCCCCGACAGCAACCTGCCTCCTAAGGCTTACGTTTGTAGAATGTGTGTAATCTAGAAGGTGAGATATACGTGAATGTACAATAATCAGAAAAATACAAATAAAGAGTAGAACTGTCTCACAAGTCCTCATGTGACTACCTCTTCACAGTCGCATGAGATGACCAGAAAGCCCTGGCCACTTTATGTTTATAATATGTCCCCAAGGAGAGGTGTGTGTAAACATGCCATGTAACTTTAAATGACTATGACACTGGTTCTGTTCCCCCACCAATTATCTGGAAACCCACTAATGAACTCTAGAAGACAGCAACGAAAAACGAAACCTGAGAAACGATGGAAAAAATGACTTGGCTAACGTAATCACTAAGCAAACCCGAGCAGACCAATATTTCATTCTCACTAACATAAACCAAAGCAACAAATGACTTTCAGGGAAATAACACCCATCGGGGTGTTCTACTTACTGCAACATGAGAGAAAAATGGAAGAGAAAATGAAAAGGCAAATTTAAGTAATTCCAAATTTAGATGTTAGCATTAAAAGATCCTCAGGTGGAAAGCTGATTAAACATTCCTAAAACGTCCAAAATTTACATTTTGAAGAGGGCCTCTCAGAAAAGAGTACAAGACATATACTTTGGTTAAGCATGTCTTAGATGAAAAGCCAGACTGTGCAATGATCTGACTCTCTCCCTAGTTCTGAACTACCGTTCAGGGGCAATTGTATAGGAGATTGAAATGAGGAGCAGATCCTTTTTCATTTTATGTAAAATGGCTTAAAAAGTTCATTCCCTTAAGTCTTGTTCAGTGAATTCCCAATTAGAGGGCAGATTCAAGACCTTGGAGGCAGCCATACAGCAGGGAGAGATGAGACTTTCTAGGGGAGGCAGGAA